ACCCCAAGTCCTCAGCTGACTAACCCCATAAACCCTACAAACCTTAAGGCCCTAAACCCTGCAAAACCCTAAACCCTAAACCCTAAACCCTAAACCCTAAACCCTAAACCCTAAACCCTAAACCCTAAACCCTAAACCCTAAACCCTAAACCCTAAACCCTAAACCCGGAACCCTAACACCGGCTTAGCTGGTGGACAGGAGACTGAGAAGACCAAGCACACCTTGGAGTACCACGAGAAGCAGCAGACCAAGTCTCAACAGGCGCGCGCGACCTGTTTGGGGGGTTTAGGTTTAGGGTTTAGGGTTTAGGGTTTAGGGTTTAGGGTTTTGGGTTTAGGGTTTAGGGTTTAGGGTTTAGGGTTAGGGTTCGGGGGTTGGGGGGTAGGGTTTGGGGTTTAGTTTATGTGCTAAAGGACGTTCCAAGTCTTTACCTATGAGTTCTAAAGCCTGAAAGAGCCGGCGCCATGAACTTGCAATATCGAGGTTATCACGACGCGACAAAGGACTAAGCCACAACTCTCGAGTTAGGGCTTATAGGGCCTACAGGGCTTATAGGGCTTATAGGGCTTATAGGGCTTATAGGGCTTATAGGGCTTATAGGGCTTATAGGGCTTAGGGCTTAGGGGTTAGGTTTTAGGGTTCTTTCTGCATACCGAGCAGCAGACAACGTGAAGATGTGGAAACCTGATGAGCATCATCCTGAGCGCCTTTCTCCCTTCCTCGCAGCCCGTGGCTTTCAGTAGTCCTCAACACCTTTTTGGTTCCTAGTGCGGGGCACTAGGGAAAGATACTTCCTCAATTCCCCTCAACCCTAAACCCGAAACCCTAAACCCAGAATGAAACCCTTAGAGCCTCTATCGGAGGTCGTGGAGCAGCAGCAGTCCGACATTAAGAAGCTCGAGGCGGGTCTGCCGACGCTCGGGATTCCCGCAGCTTAGCGTAGGGTTTGGGGTTTGGGGTTTGGGGTTTGGGGTTTGGGGTTTGGGGTTTAGGGTTTAGGGTTTCGGGTGTCGCCGATGAGAGGCCACCATCCAGGAGGCTGAGACGGAACGGCAGCATCAGCGAAAGGAGTTCGAGGCCTCTTGGTGGCGCAGGGGGGCTGAGACATGTAGAGAAGGTTGCTTCTCTTCTTCGCACCATGGGGGTTGTTCCAAATGAGGACGCCCCCCCCCCCCCCCCCCCACACTCACAGACTAACAGACAAGCAGACGCCCTTCTTCATGGGTGTCAGAGTGTCCCAAAAAGGCTAACCGCGACGTAGACATATAATTCCACGAATCCGAGCCTGAGCTTGCTCGCTCCCAGGGTGCCATTCTGAACATGTCAAAGCCTAAAGCCTCTAACCATCAGCCTCAAGCAAGCCCCAGACTCTATCGACACCCGAAACCCTAAACCCTCTAAACCCTAAACCCTTAAACCCTCTAAACCCTCTAAACCCTCTAAACCCTCTAAACCCTCTAAACCCTCTAAACCCCCTAAACCCTGAACCCTCAACCCTCAACCCTAAACCCTAAGCATTACGCCACCTCAAGTCCTCAACAGGCAGTCACCTCTGAGCGCAACATCCTCGGCAAGCAGCTCATCCGCCGCAACGAGGAGCTGTCGCTGATCTACGAGAAGATCAAGATCCAGGAGGGGCCCACAGAGTTTAGGGTTTAGGGTTTAGGGTTTAGGGTTCAGGGTTTAGGTTTAGGGTTTAGGGTTTAGGTTTTAGGGTTTTGCTTCTGGGCACTGCTAAAGCCTACCTCGTTTGCTTCCTGTTTGCATCTATGTCTACCATGAGAATTAGAAGCCCGCCAAAACCCGAAGTCCCATGCCCTCAAACCCTTTTGGGCTGTGTGTCTTGACAAACCCCGGACCTCAACCCTCAACCCTCAACCCTCGACCTTCAACCCTCAACCCTCAACCCTCAACCCTCAACCCTCAACCCTCAACCCTGAACCCTCAACCCTCAACCCTCAACCCTCAACCCTCAACCCTCAACCCTCAACCCTCAACCCTAAACCCTAAACCCTAAACCTTAAACCCTAAACCCTAAACCCTGTGGGTCGAGGGCCTGCAAGTCCCACACCGGCCGCAGGAGAGCACGCTGGGCAAAGGGGAGGCCGGCCCTGCTTCCGATGTGCTGGGCCACGGTTCTGGAGGTTTAGGGTTTCGGGTTTAGGGTTTAGGGTTTAGGGTTTAGGGTTCAGGGTTTAGGGTTTAGGGTTTAGGGTTTAGGGTTTAGGGTTTAGGGCGCAGCCCGGACTTCATGACTTTGATTTTTGTTGGGTCCTCTGGGATTTAGGTGTCTTCGGAAAGAAGCATTTTTAACAGGGCCCCCCCCAACGTCTAAACTCTAAGCCCCAAACCCTAAACCCTAAACCCCCAAAAGGACTTCATCTCGAAACAGCCCCGCAGCTGTCGGTGCAGGCCCAGTACAAGAAGCTCCTGGAGACTCTCCGCGGACAGCGCAGCAGCATTGCCACGCTGGGGGGCCGAGACGCCTCTGGTTTTCTGGGTTCAGGGTGTAGGGTTTAGGGTTTAGGGTTGAGGGTTTAGGGTTTAGGGTTTAGAGTGGATCCTTATTCCCTTTTACCAGGTTCTAGAGCTACCATTGTAACTGCCATGAATAGCGCCTTTCATTCTTAGCCCGATGACAGGGAGCTCGTTTTGCCCGGGCTTTTGGGTTTGAACCAGGTGGAGCTTGTTGCTTCCGGACATGGGGGAGCGTTCGTGTTCGCAACTCCCCTCCACCCCAACCCCGATGCGGTGGCCAAAGGCTCAAGCGCGACCTCTACATTGCTCAGCAGCAGGCGGGTCCTGCCCCCCGCTAGCCCTCCTCAAGCATCCTCGGCTCGAACCAAACCTTTTCAAGAAGTCTCTTGAAAAGACGTACCCGTGAAAGGATGACCTACAGCCTATAGTTTTTCACTTGTGATGCCAAGCCTACTCTTGATAACTGCATCTGGTATCCCAGTCGCACAGCCTGTGACTTTTACCTCACGGTTGCTGCCTGTGACCTCTTGGAGGCTACTCCGAGCCACTCATGTCTCCACTTCTTGTCGCCTAGTCCATTTTCTTATAGTTTTGACTTTGAGTAAGAGGTAGACGTTTCTTATAGTAGCATGAACAAAGTAAGAAGTGGAATCGAATCAGGTTTACGAGAGGTGAGCACAGAACACGGGGCAAAGGAGGTTCGGGAGCAACATCAACCCACACCCTGAGCCCCAACCCTATGAACCCCCAAACCCTATAAACCCCCAGACCCTGAACCTCAAGATCTATCTATTCCCTGTACCTTGTAACCCCAAGCCCCTACAAACCACCCACGCAGGCCGAAAGTGCAGAAGGCCTGGAGAAGGCCAGCTGCGGGAAGAGGGTTGTGAGGCTCTAAGCCCTATAGTCCCTAAACCCGAAACCCGAATCCCGAAACCCGAAGCCCTAAGCCCTAAACCCTAAACCCTAAACCCTAAATCCTAAACCCTAAACCCTAAACCCTAAACCCTAAACCCTAAACCCTAAACCCGATTCCCGAAACCCGAAACCCGAAACCCGAAGCCCTAAACCCTAAACCCAACACTTTCAGCCCGCTTAGCTGGCGGGATTGGGTTTCACTTGGCCTGCCACAAGCTTCTTCAGCCCTGCAAGCTCGCGTTCTAAACCCCTTGAGCCCTAAACCCAAAACTGAAACCCCAAATCTCTAAAGCCCCTAAAATGCCTACAGCCCCTTGAGCCAGAAAGCCTAAAATCCCTAGACCCTAAACCCGAAAATCCATACGATCACTACAGTCCCTAAACCCCCAAACCCCTAGACCCTAAACCCCAAACCCCACACCCTAAACCCAAACCCTAAACCGATAAACCCCAAACCCTAAATCCTAAACCCTGCCTCACAGGAAGTCTACCACCTCCAGAGGGAACTCCTCCAGGAGCGGACGAAGGCCCCGTTTTCTTGGCCCCTTCTTTTCGGGTTGGGGTTTGGGGTTCAGGGTTGAGGGTTGAGGGTTGCGGGTTGAGGGGTTTTTAGGATTTCAGAGGGGGTATTTAGGGTTTGTGGTTTTTGTTTTTTGTTGAGCGGGGGTTTAGGGTTTGGGGTTTAGGGTTTGAGGGTATTTAGTGGTTTTTTCTTTTTGAGGGGGGGGGGTGGTTTAGGCTTTCGGCTTTAGGGTTTAGGGTTTGGGGGTTCAGGGACTCTCGGGGGTTAGGGGTTTAGAGGTCAGGGGTTTAGGGTGTGTGAGGGGTTCCCGGCTGAAGAGGGGGGCTGTGGTGGAGGTGGGTGTTGGGAGATTTCTGCATGGCCTGCTGCGGATTCAGGTGCGGGCCTTGTCCGAGGAGCTCGAAAATCCGATGACACTTGGACCCGCTTAGCCCGCGTCCGGCAGCTGCTTGCCCACTGCATACCGTGCACCTTAAACCCTAAACCCTAAACCCATAACCCCCTGAAGCCCCTAAAGCCCCTAAAGCCCCTAAAGCCCCTAAAGCCCCTAAAGCCCCTAAAGCCCCTAAAGCCCCTAAAGCACCTAAAGCCCCTAAAGCCCCTAAACCCCTAAACCCCTCAAGCCCCCAAAGCCCCTAAAGCCCCTAAAGCCCCTAAAGACCCTAAAGAACCTAAAGCCCCTAAAGCCCCTAAACCCCGAAATCCCCCAAATGCCACCCCGAAACCGTAAGCCCCACAACCTCAGCCCCGAAACCGAGCGAGCCCAGGAACGTCCACCGCTGGAGAAAGCTCGAGGGCAGTGACCCGGCAATCTACGCAGCTCGGCGACTTAGGGCATGGGTAGGCTGGTTTCTTGGAGGTACCCCAGAAAGCTGTTCAGCATCCCCACAGCAAACGCCCACATCCTTAGGCCTCCGCTGGGGACAGTCCAGCATCTCTTCGTAGCTGGTTTCTGTTTTGGCGTCCTGAATCTTCTACTTGGGCCAGCCTCGTTCTGCTGCCCTAAACCCCAAAAACTCAACCCTAAACCCTAAACCCTAAACCCTAAAACCCTGAAACCCTGAAACCAAGAGTCCAGAGACTTCTTAGATTGGATCGCTTGCGCCGAAGCCCCCAACCTCCATTACTTGGCTGTTCAAAATCCCTTGGACAAACCCTAAAGCCTAAAGCCTAAAGCCTAAAGCCTAAAGCCTAAAGCCTAAAGCCTAAAGCCTAAAGCCTAAAGCCTAAAGCCTAAAGCCTAAACCCTAGAGCCTAAACCCCAAACCCTAAACCCTAAACCCTAAACCCTAAACCCTAAACCCTAAACCCTAAACCCTAAACCCCAAACCCTATACCCCTAAGCCCTTGCAGCCTGGACTTGCTGATAGTAACCTGCCAGGAGCTCATCCAGAAGGCTGCGAGGGCCGGCAGGGACACTCCTTCGACATTCGGGTTCTTGGCGTTTAAGGCTTATGTAGAGCTTAAGGTTTATAGGGTTTAGGGTTCGAGGTTTAGGGCTTAATTATAGGGTTTATGAACTTATGTGGGGCTAAGGGGTCGAAGGTTTTGGGACTTAGGGGTTTAGGGGTTTTCCAGGGTTCCGGTGGGGTTGTTGCTTCAGGGCTTAGGGTTTGGTGTTTTCGCTTTTTGGGCACGGCGGCTCGAAGTTTTTTCTAAACCTCAAGCGGGCATTTCCCCAAAATAGGGGCGCCCCTTTTATCCCCCAAAATGCTCTACTCCTTATTGTCGGGAAACCCCCCAAAGACTCCATTATCCCTTATGTAAGGAATATACCTTAAATCATATTAGGGATCCTATTGTAAATTAAGGTTATTCGTTAATAAAGGGATATTGGAGTCTCTGGCCCCCCCCCCCCCCCATTCAGAATCTCCCTCTCCAGGTGCGCACACTGCAGAAGCGGCTGATCGCGGCAACCTCGGGGATAGGGGTTCGGGGGTTTATGTAGGGTTTCGGGGGTTTATCTAGGGTTTAGGGGGTTTATGTAGGGTTTAGGGGGTTTATATAGGGTTTAGGGGGTTTATATAGGGTTTAGGGTTTTGGGTTTAGGGTTTAGGGTTGGCCCTCTTTGGGTGCTGAGTCAGGCCGGGGCTTGGGGGTTTCGTGCTCAGGGGACCTGAGTGGTTCCTCAAGTATCCTCCCTTTTTGGATGAAGTCCATGAAATAGGATCAGCCCGAACCCTAACCCTAGACCCCAGAGCCCAAGCCCTCAATCTTCAAGACACCTCATCAACCCTAAACCCAACCCTATGCTCTGAGCCCTAGACCCTGAACCCTGAACCCTAAACCCTAAACCCTGAACCCTAAATCCGTTAAATACGCTAATTCCGTAGAGTGCCAAGGCCAAAACCGAGGAGGTCGTGGCAAAGGATTCGGAGATCGGAGAGAAGGAAAAGCTCCACAAGGACGCCTAACACAGGGTTCAGGCCTAAATCCTGCTAAACCCTAAACCCTAAACCCTAAACCCTAAACCCTAAACCCTAAACCCTAAACCCTAAACCCTAAACCCTAAACCCTAAACCCTAAACCCTAAAACCCTAAACCCTAAACCCTAAACCCTAAACCCTAAACCCTAAACCCTAAACCCTAAACCCCAAACCCTAAACCCTAAACCCTAAACCCTCCAGGAGCTGACCTCCATCCTCGAGAAGCAGCCCGGGCCCGAAGTCCTCGAGCAGCTGGAGCAGTACCAGGCACGGAGATGGGGCCTGGGGCCCCAAAGAAGGGGGTGTAGGGTTTGGGGTTTAGGGTGTGGGGTTTAGAGTTTAGGGTTTGTGGACTAGGGTTTGTGGATTGGGGTTTGGGATTTCGCGTTTGGGGTTTGGGGTTTAGGGTTTCCCGGGTGCAAGGGTTTAGCGGGTTAGGGATTTCAGTGTGTGTTGAGGGGTGTATTTGCGGCGTTGAGGGGTCTTACGCTTTCAGCTTGGGGTGCTTGAATCACAGATCCAAAGTTGCTGGAGAGAGGAGACGTACAGCGCCAAGCTGAAGCAGATGAAGGCCATGCAGAGTGAGCTCCACACTTATCAGTCCCAGGCAGGAGGGGGCGTTCCGGGTTTCGGGTTCTCGGACTCTGCTCTGTTGCCTCGCAGATGCGTGGAGACCCCTCTTTATGCCCGAAGCCGTGAAGCTCAGAGGTCTCCGACTACAAGGACGAGATCGACCGGCTGAATAGGGAGCTCGCAGAAGTGAAGAAGCTGCTTGGACAGTTGAGTTGTGCGTCTGCCTAGGCCCTACAAGCCCCTCAAGGCCGAAGCCCTTGGAGCTGTGAAGTTTAGGAAGGAGATGTGGGCTGCTTCGATAGGGGGACTTGCGCAAAGTGCTCTTGGTTGAGCCGGTTGATGTGCAATTGAGTCTTGGAAAGACACGAAGCCAACAGCAAAACTCACGGATCTGCGGCGCGACTTCGAACATGATGTGAAGTAGGGTTTATATATTTCTTGTACCCCCAAAAGGACACCCGGCACATACACTCACCAATATTCAGAAGGAACCTTATATACACTCACCAATAACGGTAATAAAAACCCTGCTTCACGTGCCTTCTTAGGAAGTTCTTCGAGCAAAAGAAGAGGGAGATGATGCAGCAGGCGCCACGAGGGCAGAGCGGAACGGCGCAAGAGCCCAGGTTTTGGGGGGGAGTCGCAGCGAGGTGACAAGAAGGGACGCTGCTGTCGTAGCAAGGAAAGCGCCGCAGACTTGCTGGTACCAGCGCACTTGTTTTCAAAACCGGCCTTCTAGAGTAGTTCTTCTCAGCAGCAATAAAAGCAGGAGCGCCGGGTCCTTTTCTTGGCCTTGGCAGCGGCCATTGTCCTTGTCCGCCAACATTCGTTGGCCCCGAAGAAGCCCTAAACCCGAAACTCTACGCGACTGTTCAGTGGTTCCCCCCTTATGCTAACAGTCCTTAGTAGGGATCATCTTCGGGGGTACCGGAATCCCTATTAAAGACTGTTAGTACAAAGGGAAGCATCCTAAACTATTCGCTTTCTACGTGTTCAAAAATACTGCTCACGCCAGGAGTCTCAGCGGGGCGACGGCCGAGTGATCCACCCACGACCAGTTCCCCAGGCCGAGCCGAAGCGGTTTCAAGGTTTCAGGGTGTAGGGTTTAGGGTTTGGGGTTTAGAGTTTAGGGTTTAGAGTTTAGGGTTTGGGGTTTAGAGTTTAGGGTTTAGGGCTTAGGGCTTAGGGTTTAGGGCGTTGGTGGATGGGAGCCGAGGAGCCCTGTGGCTTTCACCGTCTTGAGTGCGAGCGCAGTAGGTCCGGAGCAGTGGCCGTAGTCGCCGGACCACGTCCTTGAACCGCTGAACCTGTTCTTATCCCAATATGTTGTCCATTACAAGCAAAATTATAAATAAATAACAATAAATAAAAAACACATAAATAAATACATAAATAAATAAACAAATACATAAATACATAAATAAATAAAAAAAATATATATATATATATATATATTGTATGGTGCATTTTTTCTAGTACATGTGCTGGGCTGGGGCGACTGAGCTCGTCAGAGGGAGACGTGCTGGCCAGGTCCGCTACATGGGTGGCTTGTTCAGCCTGTCCCACTGACAGGCAGAGGGATGCTCTGAGGGTTTGGGAGGTTTAGGGTTTAGGGTTTAGGGTTGAGGGTTTAGGGTTTAGGGTTTAGGGTTTAGGGTTTAGGGAGGTTCCATGCTGGGTGAGTGGGTTTGCCTGGGCGACCTTTGCGGACATGACTTACGATGAAAGAGGCATGTTCTGACCTTCAGGGGCCGCTCTGTGAGTGAGTGAGAGAGAGAGAGAGAGAGAGAGAGAGAGAGGGCCATGCTTCTTGGAGCCAGGGTACAGAGCTGACCTGCAGCGAGCGTCTCACCGGAACCCAAGGAACCCAAGGATGGTGCCGACGGTGGGCCGCACAGAGCGCACCAACTCCGCTGCAGATCTAGCTTTCTCAGACTAAGATTTGGAAGCCCCGCCTCGGATCAGCCACCATGGCATGAATGTGTCTCACCAGCATGCGGAGAAGCGGCAGTCAGAGCTACAAGGCATCGAAGTACTTATGCTCAGGGTTCTATCATCTTCGAGATTCATGGCAGATTGGGTTTAGGGTTTAGGGTTTAGGGTTTAGGCTTTAGGGTTTAGGGTGAGCAGTGCATTGGGGGCCGTATGCTGCCAAAATGCATCAACATGAAGCTGCGAAGAGCCGCCAGGAGTCCTTCTCCGACCGTGGTTTCACCTGCGCATCCAAGGAGGCAAGCTGCACTTGCCAGGCGCAAGCGCACAGCCTCATGGCCTGGGCCCATGTGCACACAGAAAGCCATGTCGAATCCGAGCCTTAACTGAACCCTAACCCTAAACCCTAAACCCTAAACCCTAAACCCTAAACCCTAAACCCTAAACCCTAAACCCTAAACCCTAAACCCTAAACCCTAAACCCTAAACCCTAAACCCCAAACCCCTAAACCCCTAAGCCACAAAATCCCCCCAAGAAGCCCCTAGTGCCCCTGGTGCCCCAGCGGGCAGTCTTACCTAAGGGACCCTAGAGATGCACACAAATGGGAGTCGAATGACCCGACTTGGTGGCCCAACTTGCGAAGGTCTCACCCCCGGGCGCCGGGAGAAAAAAACGGGCGGAGGGGACCGAGCCGACGAAAGCCCTAAACCCTAAACCCTAACCCCTAACCCCTAAACCCTAAGCCCTAAACCCTAAATCAGGGTTTGGGGTGCAGGGTCCCGCGTGAATCTGAAGGTTCATGGGTAGGTATACATGGGGGCCTTTTAGGAAAAACTTTTTGCAGGTCATGACTCTGCCTGCCCTACCACAGCTCAAACCAAGGACCTTGGGGACTTTCTACTCTCGGTGCGGGGGGGGGGGGGGGGGGGTGTAACCCTTATACTTGAGTGGGTTTTCGCAGACTCAGGGGTTTGGTGGGGTTTCAGGTAAAATCCTAGGGCACTCATGAGAGCCCTGAGAATTGAAGGTCCGAGGTTCAAACTTCCCCAAAACAAGAATGGCGTTCCTAGATGCTCCCTAAAACCTAAACCCTAAACCCTAAATGCCCAACAAGGCCCCCCGATAAAAACTGACTGACTATCTGCGGGCCTAAATGAGGAGGACTTCCTTCGGCTTGCTTCCATCTACAAATAAGGAGGTCCGACAATAGGGGATCCCCTTTTTGGGCTTCCTGCAGTAAAGATGATTATAGTATTTGGGGTATATATGCAGGTCCCTTGTTTTGGGAATGTCCTCAGCCCTGTGGCCCAATCGGGGTTGGGTTTTGGGCTTCGGGTTTAGGATGGCTGTCATCCCTTCAGTGGAAGGGAAGTGCTTTCGGGTTTGCTGTGCTCAGTTTTACAAGTTACAGGTTGTCTGCTCACTTCTGCTGCCGTTTGGCTGGCTTGGACAAGGTGGACTCAGTACAGGAGGCCTCTAGCAACATGCGCGACCCCCGAAGCCACGCCGCTGTATGGAATTTTTCGGATGTCACGCAGACATGTCGGTGTGCCACATCTCTCCTAGGGATTAAGCTGTGTGTCACTGTATGCATGTGCAGCCTTTCCTGTGGTAGCACAAGCCAGTGCCAACAGAATGGCTCCGGTGCCCGTCATCACGTTGCCCAAAGCCGCAGAGGTCGGAATGTGCACCTGAAGTCCTCATCACGAAGCAACGGTCAACAAGTTGTCTAAGTCCCCAAACCCTCAACCCTCAACCCTCTACCCTCAACCCTCAACCCTCAACCCTAAACCCTAAACCCTACAACCTAAACCCTACACCCTAAACCCCAAACCCCAAGCAGGAGAGTCCAGGTCCAATTGTCCCTCGCCCCTCCCTCCAGGCCGAGCACTTCGTGATCCACTCGGACGTCGGGACGCCATCCGCCTCCGTGCCGGGCCTCCAAAGGCCCGGAAACCCACTGTTGATAAGTAGGGAATGCGGGGCTGAGGTGCCCTATATAATCCGTTAAAGGGTATATATATATATATATATATGAAGCTCTAATTCCCTGATTCCCTGCGAACCAACAGTAAGGAAGCCCACGCCAATTCCAAGTTTCAGGGGAACTTTTCCTCTGTCGACCTTACACCCCTACACTCTAAGGTATGAGGGGTAGGGATGATCAAAGAGGGGTTTGTGGGAGCACCCGCAAACCCCCAATGAGGGTGGAGGGCTTTAGTTTTTCGGGTTTGCAAGGCTCATGGCTATGTGTTGCAAGATCCCTCCTCCTCCCCCCAGCTCCTGCCAACAGTCTTCTGCAAGCAAGGGCTCAGCCAGCCCTCTGCATGCCCAAAACGTAGGGATCACACGCAGCGGTCATGGGGTTCCAGTTGGGATAGCTGGGGTCAGCAATAGCAGCAAGAGCTGATAGAGCCACCTAAAGGCCCTAAAGCCCCAAAGCTCCGAACCCCCCCCCCCCCCCAAAAAAAAAAAGCAAACAAATAAGAAAACCCAAACCCGAAACCCTTCAAGCCCCAACTTGTTTAGGGCCTTTGGGGCTTGAGGCTTCAAAGGGTTGTGGGTTTTGGGGTTTCGGGCCAAGCTCGCATGTCTCTCTGCGCTTGCCAGGCAGTGTCGTCGGGACAACCTGAGCCGAAGGACAGAACGTGCCCAGGTCTAGACATCACCGACCCTCACCCTGCTCACCCCACAACCCCTACACCTTGGATGTTCCCACTTCTACGAACAGTCCTTAGTAGGGATGATAGTACGTACTGCCTATTAGAATCTCCGTAAACTCCTAGACCCTTGCCAAAACGCTCTCGGGATTTGTCGGGCTTATTTTTTTGGTTTGCCCTAAACCCTAAACCCTAAACCCTAAACCCTAAACCCTAAACCCTAAACCCTAAACCCTAAACCCTAAACCCTAAACCCTAAACCCTAAACCCTAAACCCTAAACCCTAAACCCTAAACCCTAAACCCTAAACCCTAAACCCTAAACCCCAAACCCCAAACCCCAATCCCCAAACCCCAAACCCTAAACCCTAAACCCTAAACCCTGGTGGTTTTTCGGGCCTCGTGGCATCTTCGGGTCGAAGCTTGGACAGCGGGGCTCTTGCGTCGGCCGCGGACGAAGGAAGCCGTCGCCGACCTCTCGGGGGCAGGGCGCTCAGGGAACCCCAAACCCTAAACCCTAAACCCTAAACCCTAAACCCTAAACCCTAAACCCTAAACCCTAAACCCTAAACCCTAAACCCTGAACCCTGAACCCTGAACCCTGAACCCTGAACCCTAAACCCTAAACCCTAAACCCTAAAACCCTAACCCTAAAACCCTAAACCCCAAACCCTAAAATCCTAAACCCTAAGACCCTAAAACCCTAAAACCCCAAAACCCCAAACCCTAAACCCTAAAACCCTAAAACCCTAAAACCCTAAACCCTAAAACCCTAAACCCTAAAACCCTAAACCCTAAAACCCTAAACCCTAAATAGGTGCAGCTAGGGGTCGGCCCTTGGGGGACAGTTTGCATTTTCCCCTTTTGGGGTATTTGAGAGGGTTTTGGGACATTTGTATTTTCTTTTCTGGGGAAGAAGAGAATCATATTTAGGAACTTTTTTTTAAGAGGATCATAGTTAGGATATATTTTTCACATCCCAGCTAGGCACAACTTGTCAGGCTCCGGTTCGACAGTATGCCATATGTGGATAGGATGTACAACCTTGAGCCCTAAACCGACCCGAAACCCTAAACGGAAATGTTCGTCGTTTTCTGCCGTGCAGGCATCACATCCTCACATTCGGAGGAGCCCAATACCTTCCTTCATGCGGACCACCCTGATAGAGTCGAAGACCACATCCTTATTTGCGATGTGTTGACAAGTTCTCTCAGACGAGCTTGTCGGGATTAGCAGACCGACCGTCTGACTGCCGTTGCAATGCCAGCAAGTTTGAACATCTGGATCCGGTGAGCTAGGATTTGCAGCAATTTGTTTGGGCAGTGTGCTTTTTGAAGGAAGATGGTCATGTTGAGCTTGGGGCCACCTGACGCAGGATGCTTCAATGCTCTTCTGGAAAATGACAGCCGTTTGTCACCCTAAACCCTAAACCCTAAACCCTAAACCCTAAACCCTAAACCCTAAACCCTAAACCCTAAACCCTAAACCCTAAGCCCTAAACCCTAAACCCTAAACCCTAAAGCCCTAAACAAGGCTTACTGGCAGTGTGAGAGGTGGGGGCCGATTCTTGAGCTTGATTGCGGCCCAAAGGTGCTTCAAACCCAACCCAAAAAGGTTTCATACAAGGACCGCCAGACCAAAGCTTGGGGACCTCAAACCGATCTTCCGTGCAAAGGCCACAGCGGCAACAAAGTCCGGTGGCCTAGCAGACGTCGTCCAGGGTTCACTGTCCACCATGAAATCCCTCCCCCAATAGTGGAGGAGGTAGAGGTGGGCTTACAACAGAGCTGGGTGCCGGCGATCCGGTTTTTCCCTGTAACTGCGGTGGCATACGCTCAGGGGTTTTCAGGGCCTAGAAGAGTTTAGGGCGGGGGTTTTGGTTGGGAGAGACATCTGTGAGAACAGGAATCCTGCAAGGACATCTGAGCTTCTTTGCCCCTGCCCCTGGTCACCCCAAAACCTGGATGCTCCAGCTGACATGAGTCCACCCGAACCAAGTCCCTAAACCCTACACCCCCAACCCTACTCCCACAGCCTCTACCGCCACCACCTGCTGCCATGAGGCTCGGACGTTCCGGAGTCTCAGCCCAAGGGGGCCCTTGCAGAGAAAGTAGGGTGTTTGATGAAGCCAACTGCTCCAGTCCTCTTCCCTGTGCTAAGTGCAAGGTTCACTTCTCTAAGCCGCATCCAAGAGAACTTGGTACCTAGACTCAGGGTCCAAGGCTGTGAGGGCTGCATGAACTCTGGGTTGCTTAGCAAGTGGGCGTATGCCCGGCAAACCTTCTTATATATATATATATATGTGTATATATATATATATATGCATATTAGAAACCTTGTGTATAGGTGTATACATATATATACATATATATATATACATATATCATATATCTGGCTGCAGAAGGGAAACCGCCCTCTCTGCACTGCAAGGCTGGAGTCCGCTGCTTCAGCTGCTGAGCATGGCGCTCAGCAAGGTTGAGCCGCAGGGGCCCGAAACCCCAAAACACCCTCAACTGCCTCCTAAACCCCAAAACACCCTAAACCCTAAACCCCTAACCCTAAACCCTAAACCCTAAACCCTAAACCCTAAACCCTAAACCCTAAACCCTAAACCCTAAACCCTAAACCCTAAACCCTAAACCCTAAGCCCTAAGCCCTAAACCCTAAACCCTAAACCCTAAACCCTAAACCCTAAACCCTAACCCCAACCCCACAGCTGCAAGAACGCCCCCTCTTCCCCTTGCGCAACTCCCCCCAGGGTGGTGCCAACGTAGCGTTTGCCCCGCTAAGGCCCGACTCCGCCAGGGCCGGGCCCTCAACATGGGGTTGCATCCTGTAAAAGGGTTTTGGGGGGTTTAGGGTTTAGTGTTTAGGGTTTAGGGTTTAGGGTTTAGGGTGTTGTGAACTAATTCCCAGTATCACTGCTATTTTCTTATTCTTATCCTTGTTCCTTACAAAAAAAAGTCTTCTTCTGATATGTTTTGTGGTTACCGTTCTAAGGGGAGGGTGGCGGATGAGGCTGGCAAGAGAGGGAGACCCTAAGCCCCACAAGCGCTGCAAGCCGTGTTGCGCCTTTCAACGGGTTTATGATGCTAAGCCTGCCCCTAAACAACCCTAAACCCTAAACCCTAAACCCTAAACCCTAAACCCTAAACCCTAAACCCTAAACACCCTAAACACCCTAAACACCCTAAACACCCTAAACACCCTAAACACCCTAAACACCCTAAACCCTAAACCCCCTAAACCCTAAACCCTAAACCCCCTAAACCCCCTAAACCCCCTAAACCCCCTAAACCCCCAAAACCCTCAACTGCATAAGGGAAAGGAGCGCAGGGCTGCGAGTTGCGTTTCTGAGAAAGCACCTGGGTCACTGCTACGCAACCTTTGTTGCAGGGTTCGGATGCTGTTGAATCATCTTAAGTCTTTGCTGCTTTGTATTCTTTCTTGCTCTGTCGAAGTGCACGCTTAAAAACATTTCCCGTCGTCAAGTTCGGAGGAGGGTTCCCTTAGACCCTGATGGGCTTAGGTTTGGGGGTTTGGGCTTTGAGGTTTGGGGCTTTGAGCTCCTGTGCAACTCGTAGCCCCTCCTGAAAAACAAAAGAGGAGCTGCGCGCCGAGGCGTCTCCCACCTCCCAGCTGCGGCGCGAGAACGACGTGCTGCGTATGCAGGCCTTGACTTCGTAGGCTTTCGGGCGTCTGCGGGATTACATATGGTACCCTATATCCCCTATGTACCGTTTAGGGGGTTATATATGGTACCGCATCTCCCCTTTATACCCTTGAAGGGAGTATAAAAGGTACCATGTATCCCTACATACCCCTCTCAGGGATTATATAAGGTACCATATATCCCCTATACACCCTTTAAGGCACCCGTGGGCCGCTGGTGATGGTGAGGCACCGTTTAAACCCTAAACCCTAAACCCTAAACCCTAAACCCTAAGCCCTAAACCCTAAACCCTAAACCCTAAACCCTAAGCCCTAAACCGACTGTCTAGGTGCAGGCGCTGCGGGAGGTCCAGGAACAGACAGCGGAGCTCCATTGGCAGGCGCCGTTCCCTAAACCCCATAGGAAACGTTCTTGGGATTACCCCCTATCAGAATCCCATACTCTGTCTGGGCTTTCAGCGGTTGGGCTACATTTTTTGGGGTTCTAGCAGGCAAGCTGTCTCTGGAACCTAGAGCCCCCCCGATATCTTACGACCTTCTCACTTCCAGGTGCCCGCACTTCGCGTAGCCGCACGGCGCACGCTGTCCAGTATGTCGTGCATATTGATTTTGAGGATGACGTTGATGATGGTGATGATGATGATGATGATGATGATGATGTTGATGACCATGACAGTGCCTGTGACGGTGAGCGAATCAGCACGTTTGGGCTCGACATACCGCCCCGTGCCATCGTCTTGTCGCGCTTTCGCTGCGCTGTTCCTGACCTGTCTCCCGCCTTGTCTTCTTTGCTGCTGTTTCTTCTGTGCCTGCATGAGAGCTTGCGGCTGATGATCACGGATTCAAAGCAGGTCTGCTCTGAGAAATCTCACTCTCGACATTCCCTAGGCAGCGGTATTCCCATAAGACACACTCACGCAAAGCTTTCTCCAGCCTTAGCCCGCAAACTATGATGGCAAACCGAGGTCATCTCAGACATTGTGGCGGAGCGGAACCTCTTCGAGACGCGCTGGCGTGAGGCTCGCTAACCTCCAAGGGCTATGGGGTCCGGGAGCACAGTGCGCAAAACCCTCAGAAACCCCCCAAAAAAACCCGAATGTCCTGAAAAAGCCCTCAACACCATCTTTGGAAAGCTCGCCTTTGACGCTTTAGGTAGACTTGGGGGGCGGCTCCTAAGCCCTAAGCCCTAAGCCCTAAGCCCTAAACCCTAAACCCTAAACCCTAAACCCTAAACCCTAAACCCTAAACCCTAATGTCTCGAAGACATCCAGGCAGTGGCTGCCGAAGCTAAGGCTTCCACACCGGTGTGCAGGCGGTGGGGGTGATGGGGCTTTGGGGTTTCGGGGGAGGGGGGTTAGGGGGGTTAGGGGGGTTAGGGGGGTTAGGGGGGTTAGGGGGGTTAGGGGGGTTAGGGGGGCGGTAGGGGGGTTAGGGGGGTAGGGCGGTTCGGGGCGGGGCGGGAGGGTGTGCCAGGGTGTAATGATTTAGGGGTTTTGGGGGTTTTGGGAGTTGGAGCTATTTTCGGGTTCGGGGTTTAGAGTCGCAGTCTGTTTTTGGGTTCTGCTTGTATAGATGAGGGATTAGGGTTGCTGGGGGTTGAGTGCCAGGGCTGGGATGTCAGGGTGTAGAGTGCTTGAGATTGCAGGTAGATCTAAATTGTGGTCGCTCCTCCGTGTCTTAAACTCCAAGGGGGTATACCACAAAAGAGACCCCCACAAAGGGCAGACCCATAGGCCATAATTTACATAGCCTTTAGATCAAACCCTTATGTAGAGACCCGGGTAGCGTCGGGTCATGGGTGGTCTGTCAGGAGGACCACCCCAGCTGTGACGACCACACCGGCTGTGACGACCTCCCGCGCCGCGTGGCTGAAGTACCGAGCTTGCCCGCGTGCTGCTGACGGAGAGGCAGGTGTGTAGAATCCGTAGAAGGGACCCTTAATCTTGGTCCCCTAAATAGCCCATATATATATATAAAGAGACACACACCTTATGTAACCTCCTATGTACTTAAGTAGCCCCTGAAGAATCCCTAGGGTCCCTAATAAGGGTTGAAAGGTTCTTGGTCCCCAACTATGCACCTCAGCCCTCCCCTCGAAACCCTTTGAGCCCTGAGTTCTCTAATAAGGCTATGTGGTCAGTGCCCCTGAATCAGGGGGCCGTATTGTAACACGAGCCCCACCCAAAAGTCCCGGAGACCTGACCATGTCCTGGGCTTTCCAGGCGTTGGCTTCGACCGTCGTGGAGGCGCCGCAAGCTGTCTCCGCTCCGAGGCAGGAGACGGACAGGACTGCCAAGCCAGAAGGAAGGGGTTTAGGGTTCAGGTTTAGGGTTCAGGGTTTAGGGTTCAGTGTTTAGGGAAAGCCCAAACCAAAAAAACCCCAATCCCATGACAAAAGATACCCCAAACACCCAAAGCGCCTCCTCTAGGCCCGTGCCGGCGCCCGTGCCGGCGCCTGTGCCCGCGCGGATGTACACGCTCACTCCGAGTCTTTGCCGCAGGGCGCCGCTCTGAGCGGTTTGGGGAGGCCTTCAGGGTATGAGATTGGGATTCAAGATTTGATTCAGCATTTGGAGTTTAGGGTTTAGGGTTTAGGGTCCAGTGGCGGTCCTTCACAGGGTCACGGCACATACATAGTTGCTTTTGACTTTGGCTGTCGAAGGCCCAGGGCCCTTCAGGTGTCCGCCGTCCCACGGTAGGGTCTCAAGATGCCTGTGGATAGCTTTTCTTCTGCCCAAACACGCCAGGGAAAAATGGGGTGGCATGGAGACCAGGCAACTCCCCCTAAGTGCGCCGCCTTTTCTCCGGAGCACCGTCATCTGCGCCCGACACCTTCGGTTTCTACAGCGGATCCTGGGACCTTGAAAATTCGGTTTCAAGAGCCCTAAACCCAAATAGCGACACCCAAGACAGCAAGACACCCTGACACGGGTGTTTCCTTTCCCTTTCGCCCAGGAGTTGGGTTCCCTTAGACACCCCGTTGCGAAAGAAGCGCACCCTTTTCGTTCCTCCTAGCTGCCTAGCTGGGCTCCTTGTTTTGTTCTCGGGGGGTTTATGTTTATGTAAACATTGAGCTTGAATACCTTGAATACTTTTTGATTCCAATGTGGGGTGGGGGGGGGGGGAGAGTGCGAGGTTTGGCAGCGCCCGGTCGTGGACCGCCTCCTCAGGCGGGCGGCTTTTCCAGTTTCGGGTAGTTATGGATTTTCGAGGCCCCGTGGCGGCAGAAGACCCTTTTCATTTCAGGTCAAAGCTGCTTGACGAACAGGCCCCGAAAATCGGGACGTGGGCCCAAAACTGTCAGCCTCGACCCAAATTCTAACCCCCGAAGCCCGGCAGCCCTGAAACCCCAAAGCTCTCAACCCGAAGCCCTCAACTCACACACTGCTCGTTGAACCCTTACAGCTGCTTGCCGCGAGGTCACCGACTCCTGCGTGGATGCCCGGAGATCTCAGACCCTAAGCCCCAAACCCTAAACCCTACATCCTTGAGGTGACCAGCTACACACTACGACCCAGCTCTTTGTGGACCTGCGTCGGCCGGAGCCCATGGGGTATCGGACATCTGACACGGGTGAGGTGTTTAATCGGTTCTGGTGGCACTTGCCCGTCCTTTGGACTGCTCAATTCCGAGGCGCAGCTGTTCCTTCGGATGGTCGGCAAGGTCCCCAGAAAGCTTGGCATTGAAGCCATTAGAGAAAAGCAATCATGTTCAGAACGAGAGTAATCAGACGGAGTATGAATAATGCACTGTTGCGATTACCACCACGACCGCGACGACTACTACTACCCTAACTCCCCAGCATACACGGGAGGGTGGATAGCCACCAAGGAGATCTCCGGTTCCCTCTCAGGCAGGGCCGGGACAGCTGATGGGTTTGGCTCCAGGCCACGTACCAACGCAAGTCGACGCATGAGCAGTCCTCTCCTAAGCTCTTAAAACCCGAAACCCTAAACCCTAAACCCTAAACCCAAAACCCTAAACCCTAAACCCTGAATCCTAAAACCCCAAACCCTAAACCCTAAACCTGTTGCAAGCTGAAGACGGCTCCCTCCTGGGAGGTGGTCCCGGCGAGGCGAGGCTCCGGCTCCAGTCTGCTCAGGGATTGGGTTCGTAAATGCGGGGGGAGGGGGGGGGGTTTAGAGTTTAGGGTTTAGGGTTTAGGGTTTAGGGTTTGGGGTTAGGGTTTAGGGTTAGGGTTTAGGGTTAGGGTTTAAAGTTAGGACATATAATGCTTAGGGTTTCAGGGGTTAGGGTTTCAGGGACGTATGGGGTTTAGGTTAAGGGTTGCAGAGGCCTTTAGGGCTGACAGGGCTCAGGGGCCTTAAGTGAAACGACAGCAAAGTTAGGACGCGTAGGCTTCAGGGCTTTTGGGTATGGGGCCCCTAAGTGACAGGTCTCATAGGGGTAGGGTTTAGTGTTCAGGGGCGTCTAAGTGAAAGTATGATGACAGTAATGTGTTGAGATTAGGATCCCATCGGGGCCTTGTAAATGGAGTCCCACGAGCCGTAAAAGGTGTCCATAACTCAACCCCAATTGAAACTCGGATCACCTTGAAATAATGAAGAGGCCAGTTTTTTGGAAGTTAGGCTTTAGGGTTTAGGGTTTAGGGTTTAGGGTTTAGGGTTTAGGGCAACCTGCGCTTGCGGCAACCTGCGGCGTATCTGCAGACACCGGCAGAGCCAACAAACAGAGCCGGCTGAAGCGGCATGGTTTCCCTAAGCCCTCAGTACGCAAACCCTGATACCTAAACCCTTTAGAATACTGCACCCCAGACCCTGAATCCTAAACCCTAAACCCTAAACCCTAAACCCTAA